AAGGGAGGAAGATCACAGCGTTGCTTTGTTCCCTTCCCCCTCTCATTGGAGCAGATTCGGGCATATAATTTAACTCTGATCAGAGACAGGGCTTGAGCATCATGAGGACAATCGGAAGCCTCAACCGAAGCATCTCCAATGAAAACGAGATTGACATGCTGAATTGACAATGGCCGAATCTTCTTGGCCCCATCGGAGAATTTTTTGAAGAAAATGTGTAAGGTGAGGAAACCAAGCCATTTTTCCTGAACTGTGCTTGAAGCAGACATAGGAGGATTGAAAAGTGAGGAATGGACCTCTTGAATTCATCAATGTTGAAGATACATTACTTATCATTTTAGCATAGGCAATTAACTCTTTCACCAATGCTACTTCAATGACATTCAAAAGTCGATTGCTAAAAATAACACTATAACAACTGGAATAAACTGCAATTTCAAGCTACATTTTTAGAAATCAATTAAGAAGAAAATATACAGGAGAGGCAAAACCAAAATACCATGCCCCATATGCACCTGAAACTGAAAAAAATAAAATAAAATGCAATAGAAAAATCAATTCCCAAGTGAGGAAATGGGTATCAACTCCCAAAAAAAAACAGAGAAAACCAAAAAAAACAAAAAAAATGTCTTAGCTCCAATAAAACCTAGCACATAAAGCCATAAATAGAAGCAATACATTGACTTAAAAGAAAAGAAATAGAAACAATACTTTGACTTAAAAGAAAAAGAAAGGGGAAAAAATAAAAGGAAAATATCTCTTTATCCCCTATTTTTAATTTTCATATCTCATGAATACCATGAATAGAAAATATTACTTGTAAGCAAAAGGTCTTCATCTTTTCTATCTTACAACTCCTTGGACCCTTTTGACTATAAATTTTTTACTCAAACAAACACTAAAATGACACTCTATTCAAACTCCATTTCTCTCACTAAAACTCCATCTCTCTCTTCGCTTCTTGATGAGTTTACCGGCCAAGGGAATTAGCTTGAGCTCGAACACGAGCACACCTTCTTATTTGTGAGAGAGAGATAGGGTTTTAGAGAGAGATGAAGTTTGAGATTTAGAGAGAGATGGAGTTTTGAGAGAGAGATGATGATATGAGAAAGAGAGAGAGATAGAGTTTGGGTTTTTAAAAGATGGAGTTTTGAGAGAGGGGTTAAGGGAAAGGTTTGTATGCTTCCCTTACAATATAGAAGTTCTATCTTCCTCCTCATCCAACCGTCTATTCTGAATAGCGGGCTAAGATTGCCCCAATCACAATGTCACATCTGTATACTATTTTATTTTTAATTTTTTTTCTATAAATTATTTTGGTACCAAAATTTGTACATCCATTCCTCTATTAAACTTGCACAAGTTAAAAAAATATATATATATTTTCAATAAAATAAAATAATCAAAATACCCCTGAAAGTTTTAAGGGATATTTTGGTCATTATATTTTATCGAAAATTTATTTTTAATATTTTTTATAGGTGCTCCCCAAGGAGAAGATGACACGTACAAAATTTCATATTTATACAATTTATATATATAAAAATAAAAATAAAATACTTTAAGACGTCGGATTTAAGATCAAACGATGATTGACTCTCTTGATTAAAATTGGACGGCTGAATGGTAAGAGGAGGATAGAACTTCTATGCTGTAGGGGGAGCATAGAAGCTTGCCCTTAAGAGAGAAAGGATGATGTGATAGAGAGATGGAGTTTGAGAAGGAAAGAGAGATAGAGTCATTTCATAAGTTGTTGAGGTCACTAATACATGGTCAAAAAGGTTTAGGGGGTTAGAAGATAGAAAAGATATAGTCATTTTGCTAGCAAGTAATATTTTCAATTCTTGAGTCTCATGAAATGTAGAAGTTAAAAATAGGGGACAATAGAATATTTTTTCAAAAATAAATCCTAAAAAAATACAAATTTCGTCTTGGAAAAAATAATATAAGAAAAATCCAAAAAATAAGTTCTTGCCCTGCCTGAAAAAACCAACCCTAAATCAAGAGAATCTGATGTTAGTATTTTGCTTTAAAAAATATGAGGTGTTAATTGAAAATAATATAATTCCAAAACTATAGTCTTAGAGAACTAGGGGATCTTTAGCCCCACATTGGAGGATGAAGAACCCAACGACATGCCTAAATATGTGATACCCCAACGCCTATTGCGCGGGGAATGGTGGCTCATGCAGAGCACGCGACGTGAGCTTGTGTGATAGTGCAAGGGCATTTGACTTACAATTTTCATTTTATATGTATTGTTGATCCAGGCAAATACTGATCGGAGGTGTTAAAGAGGTGCTAAAAAATATAAAAATATGAAAAGTATGTAAAAAATATATTGAATTTAAAAATCTTAAAAATGGATTTTAAAATATTGATTTTTTATTTTAAGGGTATTTTTGAAATTTTTTAAAAATGGAAAAATATAAAACTAAGTATTCATGATCAAAACATTTTCCAATTTTTCTCAAAAGGATAAAAAAATTCAAAAAATCATTACAAACAAATCCTTTTTTTTATTATTTATAGATTTTATTAATTTTTGAATATTTTTCAAAATATTCAACCGGATCACCAAAATCAGAACCAGCCAACACCGAGTTCCAATCTAACCACCCACCAGAATTAGTCAGTACCCGGTTCCGAGTTGAACCAACCAATATTGCGAACACTGCTCGAGCATGATGCTGACCAAGTCTGTGAGCTGGAAGATGTATAGCTGACCAGGTTAAGTCACTCGATCGATTCCCCCAATGGCAATGTGAAGAGCTGTGATGTCGCACCACAATTACGCAACAATGTTGCCCATCGCATGAGTTGGATAAGTAGATTCGTGCAATGAATGATGCTCTTTTGATGTTTTAGTGTTCATTTTGTACTATTTTGACCGTTGATGAACCAATTATAAATAGTTATAATTATTAATCACTAATAATACTTAAAAACTTAAAACCATAAAGAAGTGTCATGTCTCAAAATGCCTATACGACTCATGATACATCGAATAGGTACAACCCATGACTTAGAAATACTGTTTCTCATCGACTCATTTTCACTCCCAAAATGCATCCTCTCATGCTATCTCACCCTTTGTAACTTAATTTCTCCCTCTAAAAGAAAGGAAGCTTTAGTGCCTTGAAATCATGTAACTTAAAAAGATAAATACTCATTTTTTTTATTTTTATATCCTAAAGACAAATCTACTCAAAAAAACTTTATTATAGTTATTATCAGTAATGAGTAAATATCATGCTGAGAGTGTACACTAATATCTCCACTAAACTGCAATTCTACAACCCTCAACCGTACCCCTTCCATACCATTTCACCCACACCCATATTTTCAACACCTAAAAACTATGAGTGGCATAACCAATCAAAATTCACAAAAATAAACTCACCAAAAACCCAAAAAAGTGCCAAGGATTTGCCACCATACATACATTCAATAACGAATCCCTATATAATAGGATAAAAAATACTAGAGAAAATGCAAAAAGTAGCTTAACCCATGAGAGAAAAGAAGCCCCAGCAAGAGATAATTCCAAAGAATATGCAAGTAAACCCTTATTAGGGCTTGCAAATGTGGTTTGGAGCCCTAATAATGGCATTGGATTGATGCATGGATAAACACGAACCAGGTTGCTTTTAAAAGTGAGAGGGGCAAGGGGCGTTTGAAGCCTGGTAGCTCGACGATACTAAAACATGGGTAAGCCGTTGATAGACTACAGTGAGCCCTCAAAATTTTATAGAGAGACAGAGCCTCTATGAGGGAGTATGAAACTCGAGTGGGCAATAGACTTCAAAATCCAATCCGACAAGAACGCATAGACTGAGAACTACCCAGCAAGTCGGCAATTTTATCACCAAATATTCGCAAATCGTTTTCTTGAGGATTGTGATTTAAGAATCTCGTACTTTTCCATTTTTAGTGTTTTTTTTTCTAGGTTGTGTTTTGGTACTGATACTATCAAATAAGTTTTGGATCATAAAATATACAAAACCTTCAAATGTAGCACCAACACATGTAACCCCTATTCCCAGCTCGTCAATCTGAATGGATAACCCCTATTCCCAGCTTGTCAATCTGAATAGATGGTTGAGATAGTTTCAATGTCTACCTAACATCTTATTTGTATTTTTATTTTTTTTTTGACAAATTAGTTTTAGGTAAAATTTGGGGGTGTGCGTTCACCTTATTGAGCCCCACCTAGAAAATTAAAAGATAGTTTTGATTACGATGACTAAAATACAATCACAAGTTTATGGGGCATTTTAATCACTTTCTATCATAAATACTTTTTCTTACTGTAATCAAACACGCTTTTGTAAGAGGTGTTTAAGGCCCAAATTTCGTTACAAAATAATTTATAAAATAAAATTTACGATAAAACACTACATGCCACCCAATCAAAATTAAAGGCTTACGAAATAACTTCTAAGTTTATACCTAAAGTTATCCCAACTATCCTTTCAAATCATAACATCAAACGGATAGGAATGAGGATCACATTTTTATACTTGGGTGGAACCACATGTAAATGTCACATTTTGCTATGAATAAGGATCAGATTTTGTATTTGGATGACACCACATATAATGTCCCATTTTTCATATTCCGGTTGCAGCACATGTAAATCTTTTATCTTTTATTGAGTACACGAGATAAATATACATGTACGTCTCAATTTTCATGTGAATATAATATGAAATAAAAAATAAAAAATAAAAAATGAAATTGATTAGTGCCCCTCAAATAAGCCCAAATCCAATCTGAACTATAGGAAAAGGTACTCACCCCTTCGAGCCTCCACATTATGCGAACACTCTGATCATCGTCATCCAAGCATTATCCTAACCACTTGAGTCGGCTACACAAATCATGCACTCTACTTTCCAAAAATTAAATGTTGAGCAGGCAAACTAGGCAGACAAAATTAGCTTTTTCCAAAGCTGCATCTCTTACACTTATTTCTTCGCCTAATAATTGGCTTCAAATGAGACCAAATAGCATGATCATATAGAACTTTATTAGAATCGAACCATGAATGAAAATGGTAAAAGTTGAAAACCACCATGTGCATAGGATATACAAGTCAAGAGTCACCCCAACTCCCTCTGCTGCTTCTCAAGCAAACAAATGTTATATATTCCTGAAACTTAAAAGCCATCTACCTGAAAAACAAAAACCAGTACAGGCCAAGAGGCGGATTATCTCCTTTTTTTTCTTTTTCTTTTTTTGCATAATTCAAAGATGGCGCCTGATCAAATTTGATTCCCCAAAAAGCAACAAGCAATCAAAGAATGGCCAACGTTTCGAGTTTAAGCAGCTGCAGCCATGGGAACAGATCTGTAGCATGCCCGCTTTGCTGCACGGACAATATCCTCAATCTATGCACAAGAGTGAATGTGATCAGATGCATTTTGAACCATTGGATACCATGAAAACAATTTTCAGAAATGACAGACTTCAACATCATGACATGCATGAAACCGAGGTTATTCATGTTTTCAGTAAATTTATTACTTGTCTAATTCAAGGAAAGCACACACTAATGTTATAAAATTCGCATTGGTTTTGGCTGAATCAGCCGAAGTCTTCGGCTTCAGCCCCAAAGACCAAAGTGAAGCAAATTGAGCCCTGAAATTCTGTATCAGAAAACAATATTGGAAATGTGCACATTTACTCAAGGAAAAAGTTTGTATAGACTAAACAACCAAATTACAGCCCACCTCAAAAATTTCACTAGAAGAGTTTGTTTTGATACCTAAATATCCTCAAATTGATCATCTTGACATCAAGACACATGGACAAGAGAAAAAAATGGATTTCAAGTTTTGAAAATAGTGCATCTCGTAATGCATTTTTGGACCATCAATTTTCAAGATTTTCAAGCTTTCATAGATATGCTCGATCTACACTATTTTTTAAGCTTTAAATTTTATAATTAGAAATGAAAATATATTTTAAGGCTATCACAAAGATTTTCAGTATTGAAACCACATTTCTCGATACTATTTGAAGGTGCGCTCTACTTTGATTGCTCAGACCCTCGGCTCTATACAAACCACACCCTTTAGTAAATACAATATATACATCTAAAAAATGTTTGAACTTTAAAAATAACCAAAACATGCACGAAACCAAAATAAGCATGACAAAGGTAAAATTCTGGGATAAGCACACCATATATTCCAATTTTTCTAAAAAATGCCTATCCATATGTGTTTTTGGAATTTTACATGTTTTTATTTTAAAAATTTACTCTCTGAGACCTCCCCAAATCATAGGGCACTCAGAAATGTATCTGATAAGATTGGGATGCACCACTGTACTATCTGAAGAGGGAGACTGGTGATTAAGTACAATTCGCCGTGAACAAATTCACCCAGGTATAGTTAATCTTCGCTGTATATAGGAAATGAGTGGCAGATGTCCCAGCAGTGTACCATAAACTATGCATTGGTGATGTATGGTGCATTTTCATTATTACTTTTTAGGGATGCATTTTTAGTTTCTTCAATGTTACATTTTTACTTGTTTACTGGTTTCAGTAGCTATTCCTTTTCATCTTAAATAGTTAAAAAATAATATGCATACACTTTAGGGAAAATAGGTTTTTTTAATATCCTTAGTTTTCCAATTTTTTTGAATGCTTTCCCTAATTTTCGAAATTAATCCCTAGGTTATCTATTTTTTCTGATTTCAAGTTATTAATTTTTTAATAAGAATATATCCTGTTAGGTGAGAATTTTTCTAACAGAATCAGGACATTGACTTTCTGTCTACCAACTTCTAGGAATCAATTGCTACAGTCTTTTCCTTAGCCGCAAACTGTAAAGAAGAGAACAATCCACTCAACAAATAGCAGAATTTCGAGGCTGCAGCTACAGTTTCGTAAAGTTTAAACATAATTGGAAACGCAAAATCGTCCAAAGCAGCAGGGGAGATCTTTTCTGTTTTCATGTTTTCATTGGATAACATCAAAGGTGATGATTAGGAAAGCATACCTAGTCCAATAGAGTATGGTATAACGCACTCAAAAGGGGTATCCTGTTTGAGATGACAGGCGGGGGAGATTATCCACAGTGGGCCCCACTAACCCAGTGCAGTCATCTCCACCACTTTTCATTCAGAACAAAACGGGCCCCACTCACCCAGAACAGACAATCTCCACCACTCACCATTCAGAACAAACAGTGGGTAAACTTTTACTCCATAAAAATATGTGATTGTGGTGATTCATCCTGACTCCCTAAATCAAAACTGTTGAAGACCTACCTGAGGAACAGCCATCCTCTCTAGATTTGCTGCATAAGGCATGGGAACATCAGCCCCTGCAATTCTCTCCACAGGGGCATCGAGGTACTCGAAGCTTTCCTCAATGACTGAGGTGCTGTCACCAAAAAAACATCGAAGTGAGTGCATATATTTCAAAGGGGAATTGTACCTTAACCCATTTTTTGGGAGTCTTGAGGCAATGTAACAGAAAAGCTTCCAAGTGTACGTATTTTAAAGGGAAAGTGGAACATAATCCAGTGCACTTAGGTACATGGGAGACCAAGCCACATCTACAGTCGATTCTCGCTGATAGGTAATTGGAGATCAACCATACCTGGGTCAATCTGCTACCATCCATCAATAGGAACAGATGTTGGATGCAACTTGGAATGCCATAAACCATGGTCCACAGCCCTATGGTATACTTGTCTGAAACTTTAAATGATGGAAAGAAAGAAAGAAAAATAGATGAAAGGTAAGCAGCAAACCAAATTTCAGCTCCAACTCCATGTTGTGGGAATCCTTCCTCCACAGTAACTAATCTATTGGTTTTCCTGACAGAAGCATTGATAGTATTTCTATCTAATGGCCTTATTGACCGGAGATTTATGACCTGCATAAACAAAGATAAGTTGGTTCTTTAATCTCTTCATACCTTTAGTGTCCTGAGATTTATTAGAAGCCAGAGTTACATAAAACCAGTGATTTGTTTACCTCAGCACTAATTCCTTCCTTGGAAAGTATATCAGCGGCCTGGAAAAAAACCGCGATTTGATCAGTTTAAACATGCAAAGAAAATCTATCAAGTAAATCAACTCAATGGAATCTCTTCTAAGGGCAATTTATGAATATTTTCTATTCACAATGCAAGAACTCCCACGTTGACATCTCTCTCTCTCTCTCNCTCTCTCTCTCTCTCTCTCTC